AAAAGATTAAGGTCAGCTCCAACAGGGTCTGGGGCAGACAGTCTTGATGTAATGCTGACCTAAAGATGTCCCTTAAGGGGACAAGGGGAGACACTAAGAGAGATTTCTATGTGCTACGTTTATATAGAAAGCTAATATTATATGAAATACATTATATATCTATGTGCTATAGTAAATATCTCTAGGTCCTATTAGTTCTAAATATCTATATAGTAAAGAAAAACTTCTAAATTTATATGTAAAAAATTTCCGGTCAGGTCCAACTGGGTGTGCACAACGCTGACCTAAAGATGGCCCTTCAGGGATCAATAAGGAATAGGACCTGGGATGAGGAGATTCTCCACCCAGGCCACCACAAACACAAGGAGGAATAGTGGCGATGCCTCTCGCTTGATCCCTGAGCAGCTGGAGCTGCCAGAAAGCATTCCTGAGCCCATCTGAAATGGCCACAATGACTGTGAGAGTGGGAGGGGCAAGGAGGATGAAAGTCATCTTTGTAGCCCCCCTGTCCATCACTTGGATGCTGTGCCGGGCAGACTGCTGAGAGGGGAATGCTGATGGCAGAGTGATGCTGCACAGGGTTTTCTCTTCCCTCTCTCTGTCCGACGTGCTCCTCTCTTTTTGCCTGCAGTGGGAGGTGCTTGTCTTGGACCAGCTGTGAGCCCCCCAAGCACAGCTGTGTGAAGGAAGACTTCTTTCAGTGGCCTTCTAGCAACATTATTTTGAGCCGGTATCGCAGATTACGGTACTCGCTTATTGCCTGGGTGTGGGCAGCTGGATTCTGCGCCAGGTGATAGAAGAGGTTGAGTGGCTCAGCAGTTTGGACTTCCAGGGGCAAGCTGATCACCTCTGGAACCCTCTGGTTGCCCACAATAAAGTGGTCAAGGCGTTTCTCCAACAAGGAGCAACGCAGGTACTCTATGCTATCCTCCAACTGAAGCAGGATATACCTGCTGCCCCACCGTGACACGGGTATGGTGTTCAGGAGGTGCATCACAATGGTCTTCATCATATAAGTGGAGAAGTCAATGCCCACCACAGCACGGACCAAGAGCTGCAGGCATTTGAGGTGCCAGCTGTCATGTGGAGCCTGCTTGGCAACGTGGCTGAAGAACTTCATCTCTGCCACGGCGTAGGTCTCAGGCCACATTGTGCTTGGGGTGAAGAGGGCCTCTGTAGGCTGGCTGCTCACATAGATATCTGAGTCTCCTTGCTGCACCCCAAAGAGCAGCTCAACCGTGAAGCTTTGTGTGCCTCTGGTCACCTTGAATTTGCAGCAGCGGCTGGAGGGCAGCAGCACTAATTGCCAGTTTTGGGAGTGAGGCAAAATCACCCAGGCCGCTCTCACCAACTGGTAGAACCAGCGGGCAATTTTCTCCACATCGAGGTAGGAGCCAGTGCAGAGGGTGTTTCGGAAGTTGGGCTCCTCATTCCTCCTCTGCTCTTCTTCTGGGTGGTGGACGAAGCAGACCATGTTCTCATCGTGCTGCTCCCTTGTGCAGGTGCACACCGGCTCCACGCGGAGGAAGAAGTTCCTGCCGGGTATGTGCCCTGAAGTGTCCATCTCCAGATGGAAGGTGTGCCCCGCGGGAGGAGTGAGGGGTACAAGGAAACAGTACACAACATCCTCCTCCCGGGGACTCCAGCCTTCAAAGGCACTGCCCACCCCGATGGCTCCTTGCGGCACTGGGTATGAACTGTCTGACAAGAGGTGTCCAAACACGGATATGAAAATGTCCATTATGTCAGATGTCATCTCGCAACCTCTCTCCAGATCCTGAGTTGGCCACTGTATGTGCCCCTCTAAAATCTTTCCAATGTCCAATGTTCCATTTTCAGCATTGTCTTCTTCTTCCACTGCATTTCCGTCATCACTGCCATTTTCGACAACGGCAGCATCATTGCCGGCTTCTTCTTCATTTTCACCAACATTTCTGACTTCATTTCTATCCTCGTTGTCTTCTTGCTGCACAATCACAACATTATTTCCTTCCTCCCTGTCCTCCTCCTCGCCATTGTTGTCTGGCTGGCGGCTCCTTCTGCTGCGGATAAACCACAGCCACAAGAGAAGGCCCAGGACTCCAGCCAGAGCCCAGAACTGCCCCTGCTGCAAGGCAGCCCAGAGCAGGGCTCCCCAGGCCCTGACACTGCGCTCCAGGCTGCTCTGCTCCAGCTCCTGCAGCAGCCGAGTCATCTCCCTGTTCAGGAGCTTTGCACGCAGCTCCATGCGCAAACGGGTGG